GAGGCTGTGGTGGCCGGGAGCGGCCACTGCACTCCAGTCTGAGCGACAGAGTAAGACTCCAACTCAAAAAAAAAAGAAAATATTAAAACTCATAATAAAAAGCAAAGTATTTTTGTATCCTCTGTTTCTTTTTTTGGTTTTTTTTTTGTTGTTGTTTTTTTGAGTTGGAGTCTCACTCTGTCACCTAGACTGGAGTGCAGTGACTGCTCCCGGCCACCGCAGTGTTGACCTGGTGATCCTTCCGCCTCAGCCTTCCAAGTAGCTGGAACTACAGGCACGCGCTACCACGCCCAGCTAATTTTTGATTTATTGTAGAGATGAGGTCTTGCCAAGTTGCCCAGGCAGGTCTCGAACCCGCTGGCTCAGGTAATCCACTCACCTCAGCCTCCCAAAGCACGGGATTACAGGCTGAGCCACCGAGCCCGGCTTATCCTCTGTTTCTTGATGAACATATGCTACATATCTTAATGCTTATAGATCACATTTCTCCCAATGATTCATGACTGCGTAATATCCTGGGTGTGTAGATATCTCCTCATTCAACCATTTTGCTATCGCTATTTAGATCATGATTTTTAAGATAACACTATGCTGAATATCTTCATACATAAGTCTTTACATCTTTCATTATTTTTGTATAGCTGGTTCCTAGAAGTGCCTCCATGGAAAGCGTTCATGAATAAAGATGGACATGCATACCCAGAATGACAAACATTACATTTGAGAGCAGAGGCTTTATTTACAGTGAATTCAAACAGGATTCCGCAAAGAATCAAACAGGATTCCACAAAGGATCCCTCCTCCCTGGGATCTAAGCATTATGGGCTGCACTTCATAAACTGAAAAGGGACGTGGGTGGGACGTGAACTCTCGTCAGACAAGATCTCTAAATCCCACACCAGTTCCTCGCAGCTCTCAGTACGTAGCTGGTGGACACGTAGTTAGTAGCAGGTGCTGGATGCCTGCCTCCCACTGAGGAAGTGTCCAAGAAGGTTTCTGCACCAGCTAGAAACATCAGGCTTTCACCTCACTCATGGCCTCCATAAGGCGAGCGCTGTTGGTGACTGCTGTAGTCAGAAAAATGAACCTGTATCCTGGAGGTCAAAAGTAGAAGTAGAGGTGACAGAGCATATTTTGGCCCCAATAGAAACCACATTGAGCCCCTCCAGTTCCAGTCCCCGTGGGATCAGACCCAGACCATGAGTACCACACCACTGGGTGCCAGTTTTTCAAGCTGGCAGAAGCGGGCTCCTTGCTGTCCATCCTCTGTGGGACAATGGCAAGTGGAACCCAGGAGAAAGGCCATGCTGTGCAGGATGCCTAGTCTCCCCAGTTCCATGCAGGCCTGTTTTCACCTTCCTGCCCCTGCTTACCTTTCTCTCTGCCCAGGAACCGGAGGGCTGAGATCTCAGAGAATGTGCAGCCACCCAAGAATACCACCAAGATGAGGCGCAGAGACTCGCTGGAAGCCTTGTCTTCCTTGGTCATGTCTGTGGGAGTCAGACCAGACTTGGTTTTTCCCTGATATGCTGGTCCTGGATGAGGCATTCCACCTACTTCCCATTGCCCCCGCCCCAACAATGCCACACACCTGTGAATGCAAACTCACTGCAGTTGAGCAGCCGCACCACCTCATCAAGGCCCTGCCAGCTTCGTCGCTCCAGCACCTGGAAAGGTGTGAGCACTGGTTTCAAGTCTTCAGACAGACATAGGTTTGGAAAAGGAAGTGTGCAAGAGCCAGACTGTCATGCTTCTTGCTTGTGACTCTAGCAGTAAAAAGTCGGGACAGGCCAGGGACCAAGAGAAAGCAGAGACAGTGAAATACAAATGTGAGCAAGAGTGACTCGCTCTCACCTGCTCAATGATTCGGCAGCTCAGGGGCACGTAGGCTCCACTGAAGACGTAAGCCATGTCACGGGGTACTTTCAGATCATACTCACCATCCACACGCGGGATCTAGAGGGAAAGTGACAACATTAGGCAAAAAACAGCTCAGCTCCCCAACCCTTTAGAGGGTCAGATAAAGTGCCATATCCCTAAGAACAGTTCTTATTTCAACTAGAGGGAGGACCAGTAAAAGTCCTGAAAAAGAAGAATCCACGGCCAGGCACGGTGGCTCACACCTGTAACCCCAGCACTTTGGGAGGCAGAGGTCAGAGGACTGCCTGCGCCCATGGGTTTGAGACTAGCCTGGGCAACATGGAGAAACCTTGTATCTACCAATAAATCAAAAAAGTAGCTAGGCATGGTGGCACATGCCTATGGTTCCAGCTACTTGAAAGGCTGAGGCAGAAGGATCGCCTGAGCCTATCAGGTCAAGGCTGCAGTGGCCATGAGTGTGCCACTGCACTCCAGCCTGGGCGATGGAGTGAGACTCTGACTCAAAAAGAAAGAATCCAAACTGGGCTTGGTGGCTCAGCCTGTAATCCTGCGCCTTTGGGAGGCTGAGATGAGTGGATTGCCTGAGCCTGCAGGTTTGAGACCCGCCTGGGCAACTTGGCAAGACCTCATCTCTACAATAAATCAAAAATCAGCCGGGCGTGGTAGCACGCGCCTGTAATTCCGGCTACTCGGAAGGCTGAGGCAGAAGGATCGCCGGAGCCCAGTGGGTCGAGGCTGCGGTGGCCAGGAGCGGCCAATGGCACTCCAGCAGTCTGGGCGACGGAGTGAAGCTCCAACTCAGAAAAAAAAAAAAAAAGAAAGAAAGAATTCACAACCAAAGATGGCAGCTTCTCCTCTGTGCCCACAGTTCTCTGGAATGAGTTCCTATGTGCCCTATCAAGGAGCTGGAGGAAAAGGTTCCCTTTTCCCCCCAACCCTTCAGTGATGTGGGACACAGATGTCACTGGAACACACTTAAAAGAGTATTCTCTGGCACTGGCAAGTGCTTGTTACATGTTTATTAAATGAATGGAGCTTTCTGTCTTGTTTAATTTTAAGTTATCATGCTATAAGGTTACCAAACAAAAGGATCTTTATACAAACAAAATAGCAAAATGGTTTTTGTGGATTCAAAGTAATCCACAAAGGAAGGAACTCACGGCCTCCCCTATCCATACCCGTTCCACATACCAAATTCAGTTTTTTGCTGATGGCACGAAAATTGCTCCTCTTGGCCAGAGAGCTGAAGGCATCAGTTATCTTTCCTGGGGAAGAAATCTGTGCCAGGTTTTGCCTAAGGTCTACAAATTCATGACAATGCCATAGGCGACACTAATCAAAACATAACAAGACCAATCACATCCAAAGACAACCCCTGTAATTCACCTGTAATTCCCTGGAACCGATCAAGACACTCCTTGTCCTTTTCCCCACCCATAGTCTTCCCCCTCATACAGGATACCAGCTCACTATTAAATGCCATCTAAAGGGTAATCTGAGTTTATTGGTATATAAACTTTGTGTATGAACTTTGGAGTTAAACTGACCTGACTTACTGAGGGACCTTGGACAAGTCACTTAATTTCTCTAAGTTGCTGGGCGTGGTGGCTCATGCCTATAATCCCAGCACTTTGGGGGGCCAAGGTGAGAGGATTGCCTGAGCCCACAGGTTCAAGACCAACCTGGGCAACCTGGCAAGACCTCATCTCTACAATAAATCAAAAAATTAGTCGGGCATGGTGGCGCATTCCTGTAATTCCAGCTACTTGGAAGGCTGAAGCAGAAGGATCACCTGAGCCTAGCAGGTCGAGGCTGAGGTGGCTGTGAGCGTGCCACCGCGCTCCAGTCTGGGTGACAAAGTGAGACTCTAGCTCAAAAAAAAAAAACTCAGACAAGGTGTGGTAACTCATACCTAAAATCCCAGTACCATGGGAGGCCAAGTGAGTAGGATAACTTGAGGTTGGGAGTTCGAGACCTGGGTAATATAGCAAGACCCTATCTCTACAAAAAAAATTTTAGGCCGGGCTCGGTGGCTCAGCCTGTAATCCCAGCACTTTGAAAGGCTGAGGCGAGTGGATTGCCTGAGCCTGTGGGTTCGAGACCCAACCAGGCAACTTTGAGATACCTCATCTCTACAATAAATTAAAAATTAGCCAGGCATGGTAGCGCATGCCTGTAGTTCTGGCTACTTGGAAGGTTGAGGCGGAAGGATCGCCAGAGCCCAGCAGGTCGAGGCTGCGACAGGGTAAGACTCCAACTTAAAAAAAAAAAGAAATTAAAAAAATAAATAAATAACTAGGCATGGTGGCATCTGCCTGTAATCCTACTTGGGAGCTACTTGGGAGGCTGAGACAGGAAGATCTCTTGAGTCTAGGAAGATGAGGCTGCAATGAGTTATGATTATGTCACTGTACTGTAGTCTGGGTGCCAGAACGAGACCCTATATCAAAAATTTTAAAATTCTCACTTTGGGATGCTTAGGCAAGAGGACTGGCTGAGCCCACGGGTTCGAGACCAGTCTGGGCAACTTGGTGAGACTTCGTCTCTATAGCAAATTAAAAAAAAAAATTAGGTGAGTATGGTGGCACATACCTGTAATTCCAGCTACTTGGAAGGCTGAGCCTGAAGGATCACCTGAGCCCAGCAGGTCAAGGCTGTGGTAGCTGTGAGCGTGCCACTGCACTCCAGCCGGGGCAACAGAGTGAAACTCAACTCAAAAACAAATAAATAAAAAAATTCGGCCAGGCTCAGTGGCTCAGCCTGTAATCTCAGCACTTTGGGAGGCCGAGGCGAGAGTATTGCCTGAGCCCGCGGGTTCGAGACCTGCCTGGGCAACTTGGCGAGACCTCAGCTCTACAATAAATCAAAAACTAGCCAGGCGTGGTAGCGCATGCCTGTAGTTCCAGCTACTTGGAACGCTGAGGCGGAAGGATCGCCGGAGCCCAGCAGGTCGAGGCTGTGGTGGCCAGGAGCAGTCACTGTACTCCAGTCTGGGTGACATAGTGAGACTCCAACTCAAAAAAAAAAGAAAAAAAAAAATCTCTAAGCCTCAGTTTTGTCATCTATAAAATGGAGACGAGAAATTTACCCCAAACAGTCTATGTGTGGATCAAATGAGAAATTGTATCCACGGGGCTCAGCACAGTGGTAAGTACATGGAAACCGCTTACTAGCAGAAACAGCAGAAGTAAGGACAGTAAAAATCACATCCTCCTTCCCCACCTCATTCTCTCCCTCCCAGCGTGCTCCAGCCTGCTGACAGAGGATGGGGGTGGGGGTCACCTGTACTCCCTGCTCACCTGCAGCCTTGTCAGTCACCAGCTTGCTCACTTTACTCTCCACAGCTGTGAGAGTGTCCCCAGGGGCCTGCTCCGTCAGGAGTCCAGCTCGCCGCAGATTGGAGAAAGTCAGCAGGTGCTCAGGGCCATAGCTCTGAAGAAAACACAAGTAGGCTAGTTACTGAGCATCCACTAAGGGTCTAGCACTGGCAGGCGATTCGAGGTGAGGGAGAGGGGCACTGTGCGGTCTCTGCCCTGAAGTTCACACTTTGTGATGGGAGATTTTCACATAAGAAATCACCAGGTGGGTGTGGTGGCTCATGCCTGTAATTCTTTTTTTTTTTTTTTTTTTTTTT